TAATAATTTTCTACACTCCTCAAAGACTCTGATAATGTGAATGCGTATTAGAAGAGCATGTTCTTCGAAGTCATATGACTTGAATTCAAATCCACCCTTTCTTGCTTACCATTTCATGTGAATGGAATATGATCTAACATCTCTGAACCTCATATTTTGTCACATGTATTTTCTTTTAATTCATTGTAATTAGGATTCTTCTTCTTTCATTTTGCTGGGACTGTTTCATTAAAGGCACTGATTGCTTCCAGTTTCAAAATGCAGTGAACTCCATTTAGTGCCTATCATATTGGTCTGGATTTCAGTGTTGATCACATCTTTTTAATGCCAAATTTTGTGCTTTCATGACACTGTACTCACAGTGCCTGTCCTTGTATTTATCTGATTTTTCCCTTTCAGTCTTTTTTTCATAAGGAACAGTTCCTTAAATGCTGATGTTTCCCAGGCTCTCTTCAGGTCCACTGCTTATCTCTAAGCTGAGTGAGTTCTTCCCTCTCAAGTTCTTCACCTCTTACCCATGCTCATCTTGGTGCAATGAATTGTGCGTGAGTTTTGGAGTTGGAAGTCAGATAACCTCAAATTCCACTTCAAGTTTGCCACTTACTTGCTATGACCTTGGTCAAGTTTCTTGTCCTTGGTCAGTTTTCTTGTTGCTGGCATAATACCTAGTATCTGCAATTTAAAGGAAGAGAGGTTTAGTTTTTTCATAATTTCAGTCCACGATTGACTGGTTCCAAGTTAGAGACATCCTGGTGGAATGGCATGGCAGATCAAAGATGCTTAGTTTGTGGGTACCAGGAAGAAGAGTACCAGAGAAGATTAGACAAGGGAGCATGTATACACACCAAACTTCTAACCCAATAAAGTTGACATGTGAGGATAAACAGTCACAAGCCAGCCCTGTGAGCTTCATAGCCAAACACATCTCTTTAAACCATAATTTCTACATAAGGACAATAGCAAGTTCATAATTCTGCCTAACATAATCTCATGTACAACCAGAAATGCAATAATCCTTTCCTTAAAACCTTGAAAGTTCCAACAGTTTTCAAAAATCCAAGTCTCTTCTAATACTCAAGGCAAGCTTTTAGTTATGAACCTTTGTAAAACAATAACCACAACAAAGAAAACCCCAAGTTATATTCCTACTCCAAAAGGGAAAAACAGGGAAATGGAAGAGAATTAGACCAAAGCAAGACCAAAACCCAGCAGGGAACACATGAAGTCTTATAGCTTCATATCTGGCATTCATGGTGTACAATGGTAAAATCTGAGTTCCAAAAGACACGAATAGTCCCACTCCCAGTGGTGTTGCCAGTTGCAGCCCACAAGCCCTCTCTCCTCTCATGGCCTGCAGCCCTCATTGGCAGACATTCCTGGAATCTCTAACTTCCTAAAGTCTCCACCACAGCTGCAGCCCTTCCAGGGGGAGAACCAGCAGCAGCTCCTGAGCTACTTAATGTTTAATGCTCCAGCTTAAAATGTCCTTCCATCTCAGGAGCCTCTTCTAGACCTTCCTTTGAAATCTTGGTGGAGGTCTTTCTGACCACAGAGCTCTTGCTTTCTGTATGCCAGTAAAATGAGTAGTACATGGACAATACCAAGGTCTGCTGTTAGTGGAAGTAATAGTTAGGCCTCTGTGACAGTGGCGGCGGCAGCCTCTTGAGAGTCGGGATGGCTGAGATGGTGAGATGAATCCTGGGGAACCAATTCTCTAGGAGGCCCTTGTTGAGCAGGACTCCCAGGAACTCTCTTCTAAAAAGAAGAATTGACATTTGCATCCTTGAGCCTGCAGTGGATGGGGTCTTGATGATTCTTTTGTTTTTGTTTGTTTGTTTTTTTAAATTTTATTTTGAAAGTATACAACAGAACAAGTCAGAATAAAGCCAACTAAGATCGTACAGTGAAATTGGTACAGAACTTCACAGCAGGTTACCGGGATAACAGTAATAGGTATCACAGTATATTTTGTTATCTTTATAATAGTTGTTCTTTCAATCACGTATATCAAAATGAGATGAAACATAGAACACTATAGAACTTATCAAAACAGAATATTGAATAGTGCAGTACCATTAATCAGAAAAGAGCAAAACAGTAATAAAAATATTGCCCCCTTATTTGCTATGGTCAACTTCCCAGGAGATGCACAGATTTCTGGTTCCCATTTGGTAAAGGGTGGGGGGAGCGGGGGGAGGAGAAGGATAAGGGGAAGTGGGATATTTGACCCTAGGCCATGTAGCAGTAGGTTCACTATTACTTAGGAGGGAGGCAGGATGGTCATTTGTTTTCACAGTGTCCTCAGTTCCAACATGGCGCAGATCTCAGGAGCTGCTGCTGGTTCTCCCCCTGGAAGGGCTGCAGTCGGCCAGATCACCACTACTTACCAGGGAGGGGAGGTGCTTGCTTGGCTTCCCAGAGTCCTAAGTTCCAACATGGCGCGGATCTCAGGAGACACTGCTGGTTTTCCCCCTGGAAGGGCTGTAGTCTGCCCCACTGCCTCCTGTTTACCAGGGAGGGGAGGTGCTTGCTTGGCTTCCCAGAGTCCTAAGTTCCAACATGGCATGGATCTCAGGAGACACTGCTGGTTCTCCCCCTGGAAGGGCTGCAGTCTGCCCCACTGCCTCCACTTACCAGGGAGGGAGGTGCTTGCTTCAGTCTTGATGATTCTTGAGATACCCACAAAGTATCTTTCTTCTTGGCCCTGTCAAAGTACTTGTTTTGCTTTTAATATTGCTAATCTTTTTAGGAACCACAGCTCTTTTGGCACCAACTACATGTGCTTCTTTTTGGATCAAAATTTATATTTTTAAATTTTTTGTGCTTTGCTTTTTGCCCACATATCTGGCTAAAAGAAGCTAGTATTACCCATGCAATAGCTTGAATGTGAAGCTATTATGAAATTTCTCCTACCAGATTAATTAGTATACCACCCTTAGTGTCACTTGCCTGCAAAGTCTCAGGCAATGAGAAAAATCTAGACGATTTTCCTGCTGGAGATTAACACACATGGACTGTAGTCCAACTGACAGTGGAGTCCTTGTTCCCCATTAAAACTTCCTGAGCCTGGCTTTTACTGTCTGAATTCCTGTCAGCATTCTGCTGTTCTGAGCTCAGACCGGAATCACCCATTAGTTTCTGTTTACAATTTACTGAGGATTTTGTATGCCGTATCTTTAAACCTTTACAAATACCTCCCTAAAATTAGTTTGAGAGTCTTCTAAATCACCTAGTGAGACATAGTCACAACAGTGTCCCCACACTTTGTTACCAATATTCTGTATTTGTCAGCTATCTCATCACTGAAACATAATACTCACCCCCACAACTTAGAGAAGGAGAGATTTAATTTGCTCGCAGTTTCATTCCATGATCTGCCAACGTTGTGGCAGAAGAGCATGGTAAGACAGTGCTGCTTAGTTCATGGCAGCAGGGAAACACAGCAGGGGAATTGTACTAGAAAGAAATGGGCAAGGGACTGTATTTATTACCTAAGATGTGCCTCCATCACCCACCCACACATACCCAGAAGTGTATATACTAATCTGCTAAACTTATATTAATCCAGTGAAGTTGTCATATCAGAATTAATGGTTACAAAAAGTTATTGAATATACCTCTACCATAGTGTGTTCACTGTTCAAAGAAGCATAACATTATCTATTTCTTTATGTTATAGTCAAATGTTTTCTTCTTGCAGTTGGGACATCAAATTCAAAATGTCTAAAATAGTGGCACAAGTTACTCTCTACATTCTCTTGATCAGTATGTGGCCTACTCTTCATGTAATTGCCCCTGATTGACATGTGGGAATCTCTGATAATTTCTTTCTCACCTACATTTGGTTTATTACCAGGTCCTGCCATATAACTCCCTAAATATTTCTCTTAACTCTTACACAGTCTCCTGCATCCCTGCAGTTGAGGCCTTACTTTCTCACTTCTTGCTTGGGCTGCCTTACCAGGCTCTAGCTGTTCTGTTCAGTAGACTAATCACATATCTCATACAGGTTTAAGTGTCCCGTAACTAAAATGCTTGGGACCAGAAGGGTTTTAGATCATATTTTCCGGGAATCTTGAATAGTTGTACATGCATAATGAAATCTCTTTGGGGAGAAGACCCAAGTTTAAGCATTCATTATGTTTTATATATACTATATACATAGAACATAAAGATAAATTTAGATAATATTTTAGTGAATCTGTATTTTAGCTCATACTTTTTAAAAAATCTGTATATCTTTTCTAATGAAATGTTTAAGATATTTTGCCCTTATTTTGTTTCCATATTGTTGAGTTTTAAAAATTCTTTGTGTATTTTGATATATTTCATCATGTGTGTGTATTATAAATATTTTCTTCCAGAGGGGGGTTATCTTTTTATTCAGTTAACAATGCGTGTCACACAGCAAGTTTTAATTTTAGTGAAGTCCAACTTATTTTTTCTTTCATGATTCACACTTTTGGTGCTATATCAAAAAATTATCATCATACGTGAGATCATGCAGATTTTTTCCTGCTTTCTTCTGAAAATTTTATAGTGTGTTTTATATGGAGACCTCTAATCTACTTTGAATTAATTTCTGTGTGGTATATAAGGTCTGCCTAAGTTCATTTTTCTGCATTAGGTATACCATTTTATAGTTTATAAAAAAGATAGTCTTCCTTCATTGAATTATCTTTATACTTTTATCAAAAATCAGTGTGTTTGCATAAGTCTATTTCTGAGCTTTCTGTTCTGTTCATTGATTTAGTTTTCTATATTTTTACCAGTGCCATACTGTCTTGATTACTGTAATTTTATAGTAAGTTTTTGAAGTGGGTAGTGAGTTCTCTAACTTTGGCCTTTTTTTGGTACTGTATTGGCTTTTAGGCTCTTTGCCTCCCATATGAATTGTTAGGGGGGTTGCCTGACTTCTAAATAAGTTACAAAATAAAAATGGGACGGTTAATTTCCAGTGTTGTAGAAAAAATGTGATGTTTCTTTAATTTTCATTTCAGGTGGTTCTTCGAAGTTTTGAATTATCCTAAGTTTTCCAAAGCTAATGTCATCAATGGAATTCTTATGACAGTGGTGTTCTTCATTGTTCGGATTGCTGTAATGCTTCCTTTTTATAGCTTCCTGTATTCTGTCTATGGAACAGAACCCTACATCAGAATGGGATTTGTAATCCAATGTACTTGGTTCATTACTTGTATTATTTTGGATGTGATGAATGTCATGTGGATGATCAAAATCTCTAAAGGGTGCATCAAAGTCATATCTCTCATCAGACAAGAGAAAGCCAATAATAGTCTTCAGAATGGAAAACTTGATTAAAGGTGAGGTTTGTCAAGCACCTTTGTTTAAATAAGCAATCTTCATTACTACTCAGCATTATATCTACTAATAGGACAAATTGGCATGTTCTTTGTGCTTTCTTATGAATTACAATTATTATTCAGGGTTTCCATGTTATATTTTCTTCTTTTTAGAAGAAACTAAAATTTAGTCTTCATTCTAAGATTTTGTCTTTTCTTCTGCATTATAAGCATGGATAAAATCTTAAAGTGTTAAATGAAAACTATAGATAATAGTGGTGAATCTTTTCAGAAATCTTATAGCCTGCTTTAGTATTTTTCTCTGTGGAAAGATGACTGTGATAATTCAGTGCATTTGGTGTGCTACCATTTTTGGTGAAAAGATAAAAATTATAAATCTGTAAATAACTTTCAACATTTTTTTGCATTGTATTCTTTTCTTATGTCAACACATGTGAAGGATTTTATTTCCAAATTGTTGACATGATCTTTTCCTTAGGTTATTAAAAATGACATTTTCTACTTTAGATATGCAATGATCAATTAATGATGAAGTATTTTACTCACTTTGAAGATTTTTCATTAATTTGGTCATGGAATATACTTCCTACATTTTAAGATTTTTTTCTATATCACATTACTATTTTAGCATTTTATCAACTTATTTCTTTTTATTTTATAGTAAGGCTTAAGGCAGATACTATGGACTTCCTTTAAGGATGAGATTCTTCTAAGAGTACACATTGATAAATGGCTGGGTGAGTGACACCTTTTAGAGCTTTTAGTGATACAGACAACTGCTGTGGTATGTATGCCATGGGTCCAGCACCAGTGCACAAGGCCAATACTGTAGAAGAAATCATTAAGAAAAAATGTTTTAACACTACGGTCTGCTTCCTTTCATTTTTTTCTAAGAAAAATTTATTATTTCTATTGGCAAACTCTCCTAAGAGTTCAGTTCCTGACATCACCAGTACAGTCTTATGCAGTGTGTTTTTGTCATTTTCCTGAAATAGGCCTCTTCTTGGTGAGACCACAATGACAAAATAATCAGTATTCATGTCTCAGTTTACACACACACACTTGCTTACTCAGCACTTTGAGTGCTTTAAACTTTTGTCTTTCTTAAAAGAGCAGGAAGGAATAAGGTATTTTAATCCAAGTATTCTGGTTATCAAAATTATTATCTTACATGGAGAGAAAGAGAGAGAGAGAGAGAGACAGAAAGAGAGAGAATGTGTTCACTCTGGTTTTTGCAATCTTAATATAGAATTATTTATCTCTTGTTGCCTTTATTTATTTTTCTCAAGTGCTTGACTTTAAAGATTGTTCTTAACCTAAGGAAAAAAATTTAATTCAACTAGTTGTAAGTACTTGAATTTAATTGAACCCAAACCAAAATATTCAATCCATTCAGTTTCCCAGCTTGAAGAAAAATGTTTGATTCATTTTCACTGTTTGTGTGATGGCGATTAAAGGAGGCAAGTTGAATGTAATCAAGACTTTTAATTTGATTTGATTGTCCAGTGTGGGCAGAGCCTAATAAGTTCTAGAACATTTAAAGATGGGAGTTAAAATTTCACTCAGTAACTATGTGATGAAATGAGTTGATTGGCTTTTAAAAGGTACATTTATTTTTGATGAACTAATGTAAAGTATAAGTACTTGTTTTTAAAAGTTACTATTCATATTGATAATTGATCATTAAATTTGTTGATGTCCATACCATAGTCACTTAAATATGTATTGGCTGTATAGAGGGTGAAGGCATAGGAAAGAAAGTGATTTTATCTTGTTCGTGCTCTTTTGCAAGAAAAGTGGCTTTTTAAAAAAGAAAAACATTTATATTATAAAACTATTTTGAAAATTCATTCTTTTACACAAAATAAACCTTGAAATAAACATTTTTGACTCCTTGGATATTTCTACAGTTCTGAACACAGATTTTAAAATCCACTATCCAATTATACAATAGAAAGCTATGCCAGTGAGTTTCCATGTAGTAGTTTCAATAGCTGTTTCACGCTCGAAGCTTCATTTTTACCTTCACTCATGTTACCGTTCACTAATGGTAGAGATGTTCGCTACTTCTTTATTTCAAGTATCGGAGTTTTAAACAAAGACTTGTTATTCACTTAGTTTGGGATCCCTACCTTATGCTGGCTGCATGACAGTTAATCCCACATCCAAATTCAGTGTATGAAAGTAAGTTATATATGTTTCCTCATGCAACGGAATGAAATGGAAATGCAGTGTAGACTGTCATACCACTTGAAGTCAGATCTTTACAAGCTGTACTTTGCTGTTCTGGGATTGTGTCCACTTACCTAAAATACAAATAAAGGCAGAACATACCATTCATTAGACAATGATTTTTTCATTTATTAAATGACAGACTTTTGCTAGACATAAAGTATTTTGACTACATGAATTAACTTAAATGACTATGTTAGGCATTATGATATTTAACACTAATAAATTATTTGTAGAAAATGAAAGCAAATTGGTATACATTTTTAAGCAATTCTATTTTTCTAGATAAGATTAGTAACAACCTGAATGTGTAGCACTCTAGAGAATAAATTATTGTGAAATTTAAAAATGAATGAAAATCAACTAACAGCATGCAAGATCATAGATCCTGCATTAACTCTTTTGTGAGAATTTAAAAATTATGAGCCTGAGTTTATAAAGTCTGCATTCTTGTATCTAAATCTTGAGGATTCTTTGCATTTATTTACAACTCAAAATGGAGTTTTATATGAATTAACTCAATCTTAAAGTACCCCCTAGTATGTTAACAATTTTTTATTCCAACTGTCATTTTATTTCATAGACTAGTTCCATGTTATGAGAAATGAGTTATATCATTATCTTTGAGTGACTTTGCTACATTTCAGATGACTCAGTACTGTCTTAAAAGTTTTAATAACTGCCTAGTTTATAGGCATTGGAATAAAATTATTTTCTACATTTTAATAGTTGACACAGGTCAAATTTTTCACTAGTGTCAATTTTTAAATTGTCTACTTTCTCTGAGACACATTGGGCACCAGGGAAGTGTGCTTCATGGTGTGAAGGGCCAGCTTTACTGTCACGTCAGTATTTATTGTCACGTATTTAGCAACCTTTTCATGGAGACACAGAGGGAATGTGCAGGTTTCTGCTGTTCATTTTTAAGAGAAATAAGCATGTTCCAAAATGCCCCCTTAAATGTTTGGATGAAGCTTGCTTTTTAGATTGCTCTTAGCTCCAAATATGTAATTGATGTTATGAATTAAAAGCTTGCTTTTTAGATTGCTCTTAGCTCCAAATATGAATTGATGTTAAGTACTTTAGTCAGTTGTGAACGAAATTGAAAAGCTCCCTAGTTTGTTGACATGATCAGTTATAGTTCATAGGAGCCTGTGTATTTGTGTGTTTTGATTCCCTAAGAAGCCAACATATCACTTTATTAGGAGAGAGGCATGGTGCTTTCAACAGGTAGGAGCCAGTGCAGCAGGGAGAGGTCTGCTGTCTAGGCACCTACTCTGGAAGCACTCATACTGCCTGCCTTAACCACAGCTGGCTTACACTACAGCCACTGAAAGAGAATTTTGATACAAAACACACGTGATGTTTGTAGCAACAAGAAAAGCTTGTTCAGGATCTGGAGGAAACACCAAGACTGCTTTCCCTTAAAGGATGAAAACTTCAGTCTAGAAGTTTTCTAAATCCCTCCAAGTCCTTCCATTTCTTCTGCCTACATGCCAGACTTCATCAGTGCCTCCTGGCGATACACCAACATGTTTCTGTGTCAGCCTGAAACCTCCCATAGATCTGTAACCTTTCCAATCTGAAGAAGGTTTAAAAGTTTGCAAATTGGTTCTCCTTGAAGAAAGGCATTGTCATGAATTTAATAAACCACAATTAGGAGGCTAAAGGAATCCATTTAGCATTTAATAATGCCTGTTTACAACAAAAAGCAAAGGTAATTATGATTTTATTTAGAAACTTATCATTACTTTTTCTTAAGCTTATTTAAGCAATGAGTTTTGTGAAGTGTTTAATGTAGGGGTTTATTGTAGGAAAGTAAATTACGTGAATGTTCTTAGACCCCATATAAGCCTAGGAGAGTAGGGAGTTGAGCTATTAGGAGGTGGGATAGGGTGGGGAAGGAGTCCGTATTCAGCAGAATTATTTTAGAGTATGGCTTTTCAATAGAGCAAACTTCGTTCTGCTAATATTTCTTTAAAAATAAGCTTACTAACTCATAGATTGTTTGGTATTTCCAAGAGTGCCATCACCTAAGAGTTCAAGCCCTACTCTTTTCTCACTCAGACTTCAGACAGCCTCTACTTACTTTGATAACATCATACCTTGATTGGAAGATATTTTGCATACCAGTAAAGATTGGTAGGCAGCTCCTAAAGATTGGTTTTGGCATTGAAAATGTTTACACTTCTCTGAGCAGCAGAGTTCTGGTATTAGACCCTGAATACGAGACCAAACATAATTTGAAACATTTCTAAATCTCAAAGATTTATAATACCTCTGGCTGAAAACTTGTTAAACATCACCTACATTTTTTCTTTATATTTTTCTGTAATTCTGTAGTGAAATGTGCATTACTTACTTGCTATTCTTGGTTAATGAAATCTAAAAATATATTTGTAAATAAAATGTGCTGTGTATTTTTGTTTTTTGCTTATTTCATTTCTGGTATGATTGTGTCTTCTTTTTACCTACTGGACTTTGTGTGGTAATACTTATAACTAGGATAAGTTATAAGATTTTTTTTGGTAATTGTTAGAATTTGTAATAATAACACCATTTAGACATTATTGGAAAATCTACTTGAAAACTGCAGGACATGCAATAGCTAGAGTGATATATATATATACGTATATTATATTTGTATATATATAGAGTTTTTTGAGACTGTATGATGAAGAATTGTTAAAGTTTTTGGAAGTCTCTCAAAATACACTTAATATTTGAGAACATACTTTGTAATTTCCATAAGGCTGAAGAATTGTGTTTTATTTACAAAACATAAGACTAGATAGTTTATAAATCAGTGTTATTAAGACATCAATAATTAGAATACGATTTAGTATCTTTATTTTGGTTTCCAATTGTGCTTTATTTGAATTGATAATAAATGTCTTTTGGGATTTTCATTAAAAATTTTGAAATATTTGTACATTTTATTTATTATGTGTGTCACTTTAAAGTATATGCAAGTTCTAAGCAATAATCTGCATGTTGGAAAAGTCCAGCATACTTTGTCATGACTATTTTATTTATAATTTATAATTAATTTTAAGAATGAAAAAATATTATATAACCACCTCCCCACCATGAACACTTTGGAATTATCTTGTGCTAGAACACTACTATAATGTAGTGCAAAGGTTTGTATTTTGTGAAAAAAAAAGAATAAAATCACAATTTAGTGCAAAAGTTTGTCTGCAAGGAGTATACTTCAATAATAATTTATTAACATGCTGATGAGATTACTTTCTTCACATCATCTATTTAGCTCCTGAATTCCTCAGTTTGTATTCCTCAAGATGTGTGTAGGGTTTGTTTACATCCTTCCCTCTCCCTGTCACCCATTGCAGATCTTGGCCCTTCAGCAAGTATTTTAGTCAGGCTTTTTCTGGGAAACAATGGTACCATCTAATCAGTATGCTCTTTTAGATTAAATAGAACTTTGGTTAGTTAGGTTTTAAAACTCCTTCCATTGCCCATATGCCTCTCCTGTGGTCTCAGTGATTTTTTGCCAAGTGTCTTGGCTGGAATTCCTACCTTCTCAGATGATCCGAGGCCTTAGGTCTGCAGTGTGAGAATATCCATTAGATCAGGGAGCAGAGCGCTGGTTGAATCAAGACAGAAGGAAGTGGTTTGGCCTTTGGAAAGTACTGTGAGTCATACTTCAGAACATACCCCAAATGTTGTATCAAGACTGGCAAAGGAAAAGCTGAATTTCAAAATGAAGGTACAAGGCACAGCTGACAGTGGAGGGGCCCACAGGTAAAATTATAACGATTCAGAACGGTTCCAAGTGAGTGGAAATGGAAGGTTCTCTCCCATACCTCAGGGCATCTCAAAATGTAATTCATCCTTTATTCTCCTATTCTCTGGTCCTTACGAGAGTCTTCTTATTGCTTTACTTCCTCGCTCTTTTAATGTTCCTTAAATATGGACAAAATAAGTGATTTGTCAAATTTGTAACTTTTCCCCATACTAGTTACATAATCTGACACGTTCTTGGGCTCCCCCCCAACAGGTCTCCTCACCTGAGTACTGTGCCTGAGTGGCTGTGTCCATTGTCATTTATGGCATAGTGCTCTTAGATCTTCCCTGACATTGCCAAATAGACCCTTTCTTCTTCATCTATCTCCATAGCCATGACCCATCTAATTTTGTCATGTTACCAGACTGTCAATTATATGGCAGAAATTACTTGAGTAAAACTTTCAAAAAGGTAGCAGAGATGATGAGCTACATTTATATCAAGGACAAAAATCAAAGGTAAGTGGAAATTTGGAGAAGAAAAAGGCAGGTAGAAAGGTTTTCAGAGAATGGGAAAAATAAAACACTATACATTTTATATTGGTTGACAGGAACTTATCAACAAACTAAAGTTCTTTATTATTATTATTTTGAAGGTAGTGAAATACAACAGAACAAGACAGAACATAGCCAATTGAGACAGTGCAGTGAAACTGGTACAGAATGTCACAACAGGTTACTTGGATAACAGTAATAGGTACCATAATATATCTCGTTATCTTCACAATAGTTGTTCTTTCAATCAGGTATAGCAAAATCAAACCAAATACAGAACATTATAGAACTTATCAAAACAATATTGAGTAGAGCAATACAATTAATCAGAATAAAGCAAAAACATGATAACAATATTTGCTTTCAAATATTGGCAAATATTTGAAGGAATATTTGGTAGAAGGAAATGCCCCATTTGCTATATTGCATATGGTCAACCTCCCAAGAGACGCTCAGATCTCTGGCTATCATTTGCTAATGGGGGAGAGAGGGTAGGGAAGGCAGATGGGATGTTTGATTCTCAGCCCGAGCATGGGTAGGCTTATTACGGCTGCTTAATGAGCAGGCTGGGTGCTTGGTTTCACAACGCCCTGAATTACAACGTATCTTGGGAGAAGCTGAGTGGTTCTCCTCCTGGGGCAGCCACTGCTTGCCTGAGCCACCAAACTAAAGTTCTTATGCATGACATCTGGGCATAAGTTTTATGACTTATAGTAAAATATGTACGTCTTTATTATATATATTTCTTTATACCTTTGAGATACACACATGTACCTGTGTATACAAAACTATTGGGGACATGATTAAGCTTGTGGTTTCAAAGTCATTTGTATCTGAGAACATATTTTACCAGTGAGTCACTCTTGACCAGTGGTGCAGTGCCTCTGAGCAGAGGCAGGAATGAGGACAGAATTGCATAGCGGGGGTCCTGGTTAGCTGCCTGAGTTGCAGAAGAGTTCAAATTTTGATCAGTTGTAGCTACCAAAAAGCCAACAATTAAGCTTCCTGGAAAAACTTGTGCTGCATGCAGGATCATCGTGAAGTTTGAGAAGATGAAATGACCAGTTTTTAACAGTATGCTATATTTTGGACAGAAAGTTTATATGAATAGATAAAGTACTAGAGAGGGCAAGTTTGGAATGTAAATTGGAAGAGAACAAATTAGAAAGAGCAAGGTTCCTAAAAGCCTATGGTGGTCATAAATATCTTACTCTCTTGGAGTCAGTTTTGTTATTTGTAATGTTTGAAGTATTTCTGACATTTTTTCCAACTCCTCTATCCTATTTGTAAGAGCTTTAATTTGAAGCCATAGAGGAAGGAACAAGGATATCTTTGAAGAGCCTTAGTACTATGACTTTGAGAGCTATTCTCAGTGTTAATTTGGCTGAATGACAATACAGATGTAGGTTAACTGTTAGAAAAACTGGCTAACTGCAAAGTGGTTAAGGCTGATGATTGGCCTGAAAAAAGAAAAAAGGAAAGGGCCAGACCTGATAAATATTGCAGGGAGAGAGAAGAGAGGGGAAAGATTGAGAGAGAGAGAGAGAGAGAGAGAGAGAGAGAGAGAAAGAGGAATGAGAACCAAAAGGATTTGGAGAAACATAGTTAACATAGTTCACTGAACTGAGAAGAAACAGATGCCACTGGATTGTGATGCCTGAATGAGAGAAGCCACAGACACAGTAGGAGGTTGTAGCAGCTCTGAAAGGGACCTTGTGAATAAGATGAAAGAATGAATAAAGAAGGGGAAAGAATAGTACTTTGAAGGGCAAAGTGGAGTTTGGGACAGACTTTTAACAATGTCAGGGCTATGCAGCATACAATCTGAAAGAAAATAAAAATGCTCTTAAAGGGCTACTCTGTTGTGGTTTTGATCACTTTTTTGCTTCCTGATTCATTGTCCTAACTTTGTCCTCTGGCATCTGTGTATTCCATGTTCCCTACTGTACACTAACCCATGATATTTTCTCAACTTTCCCAGTTCTCCACTCGGTCCTCATGACTCATGTCCTTCTAGGATGTCAGCCTAGCCCATCCAGTCAAAGAGCCTCGGAAAAATTGACAGATTATGATTGGAGAAGAGTGGAGAGAACAAAGCTCGTTAAATTGACATTTATCTAGTGCTTGCTAGATTATCATATGAGTTCTTGGAATAGTGAAGATAAATAATCCTATCTTTATGGACAGCCTGGCTCAGAGAACTCCCTATTTCTGAGTAAGCTTTTATGACCACATTTGAGTGCTGTTTTCTCTCTGCCTAGAGGTCAAAGACATGAGTTCACACCTACTCCAACCCCACAGAGGCAAGTAATGGGAGTTCGGCTTTCTAAGGTCTTTGACACAGACTTTGACATTTGGAATAACATAGTATGAGAACTTTTCATCTGGGAGTCAAGAGACTTGGATGGTCCTATTAGATACAGTAACCATTTTAGACAAATGCTTTCAACTTGCTGCCATTTGATTTTTCATTTTTTTTTTATTTTTCATTTTTAAAGTGAGAAGTTGAATGGATAAGTTGATGGTTCTTTTTATTTCAAATTCCATCATTCAATGATTATGGTAAGTAAAAAGGATATAGCCAGAGGCGTGCAGGCTATGTGCATAATTCCTGCCAGCCAGCAATTCCAGAATATGGGTTTCAGTTGTGTACATTTTTGCAAGTAGCTTAAATTCTAGTTTTGACTGTGACTCTATGCCTGTGAGAGAGGCTACTTGTTTGGGATTCCATCTGCTTCACTTGCAAGAGGATATGGTATCTTTTGTAATTGATGAACCTAGCCAAAAAGGTTGAATGTAATATTTGCAGAATGCTCCTCAACATTCCTAGGGGGAAGAGAGAAAGTTTTAATGATGTACTTTCCCACTATATTTGCAGCCAAATTGATTGTTAAAAAATATTCTGAGATTAACCTTTGGAAGATGTAAACATCTTCCTCGTGATATCCAAATATGGAAGTCATCTTTTTTTTCCACGATAAAACATTCATCAGAGTGGAATTTAGAAATAAAAATATAAATATTCCTCTCTCACTATGTAAAATCCCCATTTTCTTGAGAAGCTAGTCCATCACGAACAGGTCAATTACCTTGGTTGACCAGTGTTGGGAAGGACTTTTTATAAAATTCATGTAATCTTAAGAGACCATACCCAAAGGCTGCAAGATTGTTTGGTGGACTTCGTTGTGGCTCAAGCCGGGAAGAAGTGGGATGTGAGAACTGTTGGTAATGCTCAATGTGTGTGACTTTGTTGGGTGGTATACTTGTTTCTGCAAATTTATTGGTCTTTATAAGACTAGTGATGGAATTATCTGTAGTAAATACACTCTGGAATTTTACAGTCAGTGTATGGATTCACTAAGACACTATATCAAGGTGGGAGGTAATGTAAGAAGCAAATCTAGTGTCTCTTCTTCAGAGTATCTGTTCATTACATACTGCATTATATAATCTGTTCCTGTAAATAGTTTTTTAAAAGAATCTTCTCATGTGTGAATTTCTACATGTATATCTATCCTCTCTGTATTATAGGGAAAAACAAATCATAACAAGGCTAAGAAACCCAATGCTAATTTTGTAGCATTATGATATAAAATCTAGCAGTACTATTATTCACTGATCAGAGTGATGTTAGTCTAATCTCTTAAGTTCAATATCAGCATATGTAAAGATAAGGACAGCTACTACGAAGAGAATGAGAAATGCAATGGTAGTTATTGTCTTCCCCAATGTCAGATCTTGAAGACTTAAAAAGCCTTCATCATCCTGTAATGATTTGATTAGTTCTATAATATGCAGTATGTATTTAATGTGTGTGAAGATGGGGAAAACTATTTGGAAGAAACCAGAGACAATTAGATAGACAGTGAAGATCTCCAGTGGACTTGCTT